GGAATTCATTTGTTTAGTCAATTACCAAAATTTGGATGATTTTGAATATTCACTTGAAAAGTTATCAAAGAAAAACATTTTTCATTTTGTAACTTCGAGGGCCCGTAACTTGGTTACGAAGACTTTTAGGAAAAAAAGTTATATGAAGTACTGGTGATATTTTGACCCCATCTATACATTCCCGAGAGGAAAAGAGGAAGTCCAGGGACACCCTGTATACTATATATAAAATGAATAATCACCTATAATCGACTTACCCCAAAAATATCGAATATATTCAAAATGAATAGACACAAGGAGTTTTAATTAATATACACCTTACACTGTAGCAACAGTTACAGTTCAATGTATTTATTGTCGTGAGATCGTTTCACTCCGTTTCCTTTAGTTTAATTTCGTCCCATTGTTTTTTATTTCGTTTCATTCAATTCTATTCAATTCTTGTCTGACATTTTTATTGTTTGTACTACATGGGATGAAAAGTGTCGGGCCTAACACTTAGATGGCGCTAGTCTCATTGCATTCACTACTTTTTCAGTTAGTAGGTACGAACCTTCAAGAGAAAGCTGTTGAAATTTCATGATAAGTTTGTGAGTTATTGTGCTAAGAGTAACACTACTTTTGTTATTTTCAGAACAATGGACCAAAAACAATTTCGTGTTTTAATTTTACATTGCTTCTTGATGTGAAAAAATTCTGTTCAAGCGAAGGCAATGGCTTGAAAAGTGTTATAAGGACTCTGCCTCATCAGAAACAACAATTGAAAGTTGGTTTGCTGACTTCAAACGGGGTCGTAGACACACCAATTATGCAGAATAAGAGAATATATGGTTAATACACACTGGAATATTATACTTACCGGAGCCGCCTGACGGCGACTCGCGGGGGAGGTCTGCTGTTTTGGTCTATAGGTCTTCTGTATTTGTCCCGTTCTCTGAACCTGGGGTCGTCCATGTTCAGCGCTTCGTGCGCTGAAAATCGGAATTCTTTCAGAGTATTTCATTCCTCTTCCAAAGTTGGAGCGAACATCACAAAATGTCACTCCATCTAGTGGACGAGGTATAAACCAAATGCATATTCGTAATTTGCCCGATTCCTCTGCATAAGGAAGAAAAACTTTCTTATTAGTCAATGGACTATGCTTGAAGACTGGCAAGACTAGATGGAGTGACATTTTGTGATGTTCGCTCCAACTTTGGAAGAGAAATGAAATACTCTGAAAGAATTCTGATTTTCAATTATGGAATATCATTGACTTTATGTCGATGATGGTCACTATCTTGTACTGACGAGTGGCTAAGGAGCCCGAAACCGGTCTGCAAGTGTGCCCGTTCCAAAATTGAAGGTCGACTCTTTCAGTTGTATTGCCAATTGCTTATGCAGGACATTTTCTGTGTTGATTCCTGCACTGACACCTGTCGGATATAATCCAACGCCTTTCGTGGTATTAGCCAGGGGAGTAGTTGTTTTCTGATAGGCGTCAGTCCATTCAACCTACTGTGTAGGTATATGAAGACTGGCTTGAACGTTTTAAGTTCATTTCTTTAGATTAGTTCAATGTGCTGAAATTTTCAAAAAAAGTAATTTGGCTCAACAAGAAATTATCACCAACGGGATTCAGTTTCTTTTTTCTGTTGCTGCTCATCAACATCTTTTTCGGGTATATTACCAAGTTCAAGTGTGGCTTGGTTATCAGCTAGATCCAAAAGACTGGGGTTGGAAGTTGGTCGACAATGCATTAGAACCTCTTCAGACTTTACTCCCACCTGCGCCGGAAAAACTGCTGAACACAATTTTTTGCAACTGTAAAAAGGGATGCGGCGTTAAAAGTGGTTGTAAAAAAGTTGGACTGTTGTGTTCTCTGGCATGTACACATTGTCAAGATCAGTCATGTTCTAATGCTGAATCACCAATAGTGGAGGATTCATTTGATACCAACGAGGAAACATGCGATACATCACTCTTGATGCAGTTCACCTACACCCAGGATAATCAAGAAGAAGAAGATCAAGAAGAAGAAAACCAAGAAGAAGAACGACAAGAAGAAGTATTTGAAGGTTATGACTCAGATGAATAAATTTTTACATTTTTTTAATTTCAATGGCTTTTATAATTTCCAACCCTTCCTAATATATTTTATTATGCAAGTTTTCAATTTGACAGAATCACAACAGACATGTGGAATAGGCCTACTGGGGAAACCACGTTAAAAAAACGCGCTAAGTACACTACCTCATAGGTGGCGTGGAAACGTGTGCATATAATGACGATTACAACTTTTACAACTTTTTGACTCATCGTATCTCAGAAACGGTGGCTCTAAGAAAAAAAAGTATTGATACATTTTTTGTAGAGAATTTTATGATCTACAATTTTTATCTGAGGTTATTTTATGATAAAACTTAGTTTTCCTGAAAATCGCGAAAATCGAATATTTTTTTTTTCCAGGCATCGCAATCATTCGGAATTTAAAAATCTTATTTTTAACTATATTTTGAACAATAACACGCATTTGCAGCTTGTTTTAAATTTATGTATCTTACAATGTCTAGATTGACCGGATTGTTGAGAAATCTGAAATTTTTCATCATTATGTGACGATGGATGAAACATGGATCTATCACTTCACTCCGGAATCAAAACAATCGTCATCTGAGTGGAGAGCAGCAGGTGAACTTGTCCAAAGCGATCGAAAGCACAACAATCGACTGGGACGGTTATGGCCTCGGTATTTTGGCACGTGTTTGGTGTAATATTCATCGAATATCTTGAGAAGGAAAATACCATCAACAGTTAATATTATTGTGGCGAATTAAAAAAAAAATGTTTCATCAAGACAACGCATCGTGTCGCAAGTCAATCGAAACAATGGCAAAACTATATGAATTGAACTTAAAATAGTTCCCACATCCACCGTATTTGCCAGATTTGGCTCTCCGACTACTGGCTGTTCGCAGACCTGAATACTGAATCCTCCTCCCCACTGCTAGAGGAACTATTTTTCCTTTAGATCCAATAAGGAAATTTTTGTCACTGGTCGCCTGTATTCGGCATTTGAAGTTTTCACATCTACGACACGTAATCTGCTATCAGGACCTGGGTTGGTAAAACAACATCATTAACTCGGATAGATTTTTTGATTTTCTTCTGTTTACCACGTTTTGATGATGTGGTTAGGTATTTCTTGAATCAACGTCTTCAAAAGTTATCGAACAGCATCTGCATTTTTCTCCATTCTCTTCAAAGACAATCGTTGTCTAGGCTGAGGCGTATACAACAGTCATCTTCACTTGACGACCCCAAAAGAAAATGATTAGGTGTAAGTGCTTCAAGATCAGATGGATCGTTTGATACTCTGGTAAGGGGCCTGGAATGCCCAGCTTCAGCAAAAAAGTTTGTAGGGTTTCTTCTTTGAGAGACTGTTCATACAGATTATTTTGACGAATCCAATTAACCTCTCCTATGTTCCTTCCATATGTGGGGCTCCTGGAGAATTAAACCTGAACTCAATTCCTCTAGACGGCATTGCATCCACAACAGATAAACTGTTTAAGATTTGAAGATCATTTTTCAGTTCTTTCGTAGCAGCAATAAAAGTTGTTCCATTATAACAAAAGATGAGCTTTGGCTACCCTCTTCTTGCTATCATTCTCAATATAGCCATGAGAGCCGATTCACTGTTGAGAGTGTGTAAAATTTCCATCTGAATGGCTCTTATTGACAGGTGGAGATGACTCTCCGACGTGAAATGATCCAAAATAATCCATCCCTTCGTTGACGAAAGGCCTTATTTCTCGGGTATTTGTCCCAATAGTGATGAAAGTGCTTGTGCGTTATCATTTCTACATTTCTGGCATTTTGATTAAGCCGACTTCACCGCTGCTCTACCATTAATTACCCAAAATTTTTGCCGCATTTCGTTCAAGATCAATTCTCGTCCTCTGTGTTTAAATTTTTCTGGTATTTAAGATCTAAACTTACTAGTTCTCTAGTTATTTCGTTGAGGGTATTCGCCAAGTTCGCCAGGTTCTTTCGTCAAGTACCTACAATGACTCAGTCTTTCAGTTTGGGATATCGAAAAGTCTGCTATTTTTTGGTATCTGCCTTTCACTTTCTCGACTTCGAATTTCTTCAGGAAAAGTTTCCAATTAGCATTGCCTTATCCATAGTTTCTCGACTTCAATTTCCCCCACAGTCTGCTCATTTGAAATATCTTCAGAATGTATAGTTATTTTAAATGTTTAAATAAAATCTTAAATACCATGCCGTACACCTCACCAGTCTCAGCCATTTTGAAAAACGTTTTATGTCAGGAAGAGGGTTCTTATTTTCTGAAATGGTCAAACAGGCATTGGCGAATTGTCTTCATCTGTTTAAGCTGTGTGATTTAATTATTAAAATCTTCTTTGGGACAGTCTTCTTTGGGTAGTCGCAAGAACTTCGGTCCAAAAATTCAAACATTTGCAATTACTTTCGTGGTGTCAAAATGCTGTGTAGTCCCTTTATCAGCCGGGTTCAGGTCTGTCGGAACCCACCTCCAGTCTTCCACGTTAGTCCTTTCTTGAATTTCGCCTATTCTATGTGAAACGAATTGTTTGAATGTTCTGCCGTCACTCCTGATCCAAGAAATAACACATCTGGAGTCTGACCAAAAATTCAATTGAGTTATAGGTATGTCCAATTTCGATCGTATTGAAGGTGCCAGTCTGCTTGCCATAACAGCCGATTGCAGCTGCAAACGCTTTCTCACTGCTCTAGTAGAAAGTGTGGAGTTCTATTTTTGAAGCACTTGGAATGAGTAAACTATAACGTCGTGGGATTGTGACATCTTTAAATTTGGGTAGCCAATTCCAAAACGCCAGACCTCTTGCAATAAAATTTTTGACTTAATCGTGAAACCGAGTGGATCATATATACTCATTATTGTGCGGAGATCAATTCTTTCTTTCGGGTTTCTTTCAGGATTTTTGTCTTTAAATTCACCTTGAAGCAGAATTGGTCTTTATTTATGTCCCACCGAAAACCAAGAACTCTGTGGAGCGAGGAATGATCATCTTTCTGCTCAATTCCAGATGAAGATTCTGATCAAGTCTACCATATCGAATCCTCAAGATTTCATCATTTTACAAATGACTTGGACAGTTTGGATAGCTTCTTTTTCATAATTCGTAGAATGAAAGGAGTTAGAACAGTAAACAATCTGTCGCTGCCTTCACAAAACGTCAAGATGACAAAAATGTCAAAATTTCCGCATTTGAGAAATCTACTAATGAAAGATATTTGCAATGAAAAACCTGTTCTCCTGATTGAACAGGACAACATCGATCTTATCGTTGCTCGGCAGATACGGTGTGGTCCAGAAAATTCTCCTTTGGCAAGTAAATGAAAATTAGAATGGGCTGTTCATGGTGTGTGCAATTCTAATGTTGGAATGGCTGAAAAATCTCATTATACCTTGCATATTTACGAAACAGATCAAGATGAAAATTTGCAAAACATGGTAAAAAAGTCATTTTCTACTGAACGCTTAGGATTACTGCTCACGCCAGAGAGACTGAGTCGACAAAATGTAAGAGCATTCAAGATCATCCAGCAAACCATCAAACGATGCGGAGATAGGTACAAAATTGGTCTGTTGTGGTGAACTGACAATGTCGTTATACTTGAAACCAAAATACAAGCATTACCGAGATTGAAATGTATCGAAAGAAAATATCGAAATATTCCAGAATTTGTCGAAAAATAATGTCAGAAACTACGATTATCTGAAGAAAAGGATATATACGAAAACTCACCAGAGAAGAAGCAAAAGTCGAAACTCCACGAACATGTTATATTCCACATTCCGCTGTCGAGAACAGTAATAAGAACAAAATTCGTCTTGTATTTAATGCAGCCTCAAAGTCACATGGCGTAAGCTTGGATGACCATCTTCTCGCCGATCCCGATTTGCTACAGTGTTTAGTAATACTTTTTAAATTCAGACAACGACGTTTCGTATTTTGTGGAGACATAAAGGAGTTGTTTCATCAAATAAGAGTACGTAAAGGAGGCAGAAATTCACTAAGATTTTTGTGGCGAGATTTGAAATATAACAGGGAACCTGACACGTATGACCTTTGATGCCACCTGTATGCGCCCAATTTGTTAAGATTACCACGCTGAGAACTTTTCGACAGATCCACATATATGAGAAGCTATAACGAAGATGTTTTATGTGAATGATTAAACTTTGCACTTTGTACTTTTTGCAACTTCTCCCACCCATTTGGCAAAATCTTCCACCAAATTTTCATTCCCTTCAATCATTTTTCGCCTCCATTTCAGCTTCAAATGATCAGGTAACTTTCTGATCATGTCTTTCAGTAGCTGCGGATTAAGAAGATGTCCTGGGAATTTGAGAGTTTTTATGATTGCAACCATATTTTTTATTTCAGTGGAGAATTGTAAAAGTTTCTCAAAATTTGAATCTCTTGATAGAGAAGAACTCTTATTTTGGATATTAGACCATCGATAATAAATTCAGGGCGCCCAAATCGTAATTCAAGGGTTTGTATAACCAAATTCACATTATCTGCTGTGATCATCATCCCAGCTACCGCGGATTTGGCTTCCCCTTTCTGAAATTTAGGCATAATTTCTTCATTACTGAAAACACATAGACTGCAGATATATTTGAAGTGTTCGTGAAACAAAGGCCATTCTTGTGGATTACCATCATGGCAAGGAAAATCATTTTCAAAAGAATTTCGAATTGAGAACTTGTTTTGATTATTCGCAGTCGGATTTAAAACTGTCTTAATAGCATACGAAATGGTTTCACAAAGTAATTCAATGTCACTGATAGTTTTTTTTTAATATCGCTACCTCTTGCTTCTTCATGAATGCATTCTCCTGGGTAGTTTTCTCTCCATTGATACACTCTTTGTTTCGTTTCTTCTGCATCATCAGTGGTACTTGAGCTAATCAATCATAATTTTTCTCTTTCTCTTCTCTTCGATCGGCGCTTGATGTTTCTTCTCAACCGTTAATTTCTGGTCCTCCCAATTGGCGCTCTAGCTCTAACAATATCGGACTTTTCACTAATTCTTCCTGTTCTAATTGGCGGATCTTCTTCTCTAATTCTTGTTTTTTTTTCTCATTTTCAAATGCTAATCGCTTTCGTTCTATGCTTAATTGTGAATGTAGACTGAACACTTTACTTCATTTTGATTGTTTAGATTTCACTGAAATTCCTCCTGTTAATCCCCTGCAGTTCCTTGTCTAGGTCTGTCCAGCAAGGATGTTTGTGAATTTATCGACGCATCTTTTTCCATGTCGTGGGTTTGTCGGGGTCACCAATGTTAAGACTCTAGTTGTTTTTTCTTTCAGGAATCGTCAATAAAACTGTATATTAGTCTAACAAAATTTTAATGACTTTTCCAAAATAACTTCTGTCTTTTTTATAACAACTATATGGTGAGCAAAAAAAAATATAAAAACAGGCAACAAATTGAATAATTAGAAAATCTGAATAACAAGTTTCAACATTATAACTATGCAACACTAGAAATCGGGACTTAATGCTCCAAGAGAAACGTTATTATGATGCTCTCTAGCATTCACAAAACGGAAAACAAACATATTTTTCACGCGAAAATGTTAACAGGATAGAAACGCATTGAACAATGGTATTATAAATAAGTTGCTCAGTTCCGTCAATCAGTTAATCAACAAACTTTTTCTGTTTAGTACACAACATCCTATACGAACGGAGGACTTCTCCAGCAACCAATGTATCACCAACAGCACTCTGCTCAGTATCAACAGTACAAAGAAGCAAGGGAACAAGTTCTGGCGCAAAACCAACCGCATCCAACCTATAGAGGACCACTGAAAACGTATCAGACTACTGCACCGGTTATTGTAAAAAGCGGACAACAAAGCGATATGAATAATTTGCAGAGAAAACAATACGAAATGACGTGATAAAATGATCTCCGTAGAGGTTTCAGGCGATCCGGTATTAAACCGCCCAAAATATCTTAACATGTTTTGGTTTAAGTTTTTCAAAATTATCGAATGGGGAGAGGTTGTGAAATATACACGAAAATTGTTAATGAACGAAAACTTAGTAGACTAAGTGAAGGAGCGGTGTCAAATGATAAATTGGTACAATATGCCAATAAGCGGGTACACCTCAGTTATTGCAAAGTGTATCAATTCAGCTCTCCTTATTCCACTAAAATATCGATCACAACAAAATATAAAATATATCTCTAGTTTTCCAATGAAGTGTATGGATGATTTTCAAAGATTGCGAGTTGGAGACAAGGTTCATTCTTCAAATAGGGAGTCAGAGCAAACCTCAGAAATGTCAAAAGTCGTAGCCTGTAGATTTTTAAGTGGCATCTACAATTGCGGTAAACATTATTCAAGGTAGTGAGACAACAGACGCATCACTCTGGTTGTCTTCACTACTCATCCTTTATTGGTCAGGGTTAGTTATAGTATGTGCAGTGAGGACAACTAGAGTACGGCGCAGCGTACGATGTCTTATTAATGTTTCATATACGAAACGTCAAACCACGGCTAACAATCCCTTGAAAAAAACTCGGACACAGCTATCTCCGGCCTCAAAAGATTACAAATAACTTAGATGTTTGATAATGATCATAAATTACGTGCAGCAGCTGGAACTGTCATGGTGGAAGAACAAAGTGAAGAAGTATTTTTTCAATGAAGGTATCCATCAAATTGTATTTTGTTGAAACTACGAAACATTTGAATGAACTGCGATACAAACCGAAGGTTTTTTCATATATATTCCGAAGTGATGTTTTGATCCATGATGATGAAACCAGTGCATAGATACTCGACAGGGATTGAAGTAAATTATGTTTACCTGTCAATAGGGGCATATGTATTTAACATAATATACTTTGATCTTTGTCAAGTATTTTGCTGCTGGTTATACCATACTTGATTGAATCGTGAATTTCGTATATCTCTAAAACCAATATACAACTCAGTTCGTTTTCTTTGTCATAGGATGTAGCAAAATATTTTATTGAAAGAGAAAATACCCTAAAGTACGTATACAAAAAGTATTTTTTTTTATCAGTTGATTTATGAATATTACTGGATTGAATCCCAACACCAAACCGTTATTTTTATCACCTCTACACTTGTTTCAATCACCAAGTGATCTTCCTCTTGTAAATGATCACTTGGTGATTGAAACACGTGTCGAGGTGTTAAAATAACGGTTTGGTGTTGGGAAAAAACTCCAGTTATATTCGCGAGATGATATCGTTACGAAAAGTGTTATCGGGCTAGGCGAACGGAAGTTGAGAGGGAGGTATATGATAGTGAAGATAGAAAGTTGCGTTTCGTATATTACTGTAGGGGCAAGAGAAAGAGAGAGGTGCACACATTTAGTTGGAGATGCATGATGTATTGAAAAATTTCATAGAGTGAGTCCCCAAATGATTACTATTGTTTGTTTTCATTTCTGTTATCACCGATGTGAACTAGCTCCACCCTTTTTGCCTTCGAAACCTTTATACTTCACAACTAGAGAGGTATTCCAAACATCTGAATTCAGTCAGAAATTGAAACCTCTTAGACGTTTTTGATTATACTTATTTCATCGATTAACAAAATCTATAAGATTGACTTTCTTATTAGTCAGTGGACTATGCTTGAAAGCTGGCAGTAAAAAAATCTAAAGCAAATGAACTTTAAACGTTCAAGCCAGTCTCTATATATTTACACAGTAGGTTTAATGGACTGACGCCTATCAGAAAACAACTACTCCCCTGGCTAATACTACGAAGGGCGTTGGATTATATCTGACAGGCGTCAGTGCAGAACATCATAAAATGTCACTCCATCTAGTGGACGTGGTACTAACCAACTGCATATCCGTAATTTGCCCGATTCTTCTGAATAAGGGAGAAAAACTTTCTTATTAGTCAGTGGGCTATGCTTGAAAACTGCTTCATTTGCTTTAGATTTGTTTACTGCCAGTCTTCAAGCATAGCCCACTGACTAATAAGGAAGTTTTTCTTCCTTATTCAGAGGAATCGGGCAAATTACGGATATGCAGTTGGTTAGTACCTCGTTCACTAGATGGAGTGACATCTTGTGATGTTCGCTCCAACTTCGGAAGAGGAATGAAATACTCTGAAAGAATTCCGATTTTCAATTGCGGATTATCATTGACCTTAGGTCGATGATGGTCACTATCTTGCACTGATGAGTGGCTAATAAGGCCGAAACCGGTCTGCAAGTGTGCCCGTTCCATAATTGAAGGTCGACTCTCTCAGTTGTATTGCCAATTGCATGTGCAGGAAAAAAATTCTGTGAAGATTCCTGCACTGACGCCTGTCGGATATAATCCAACGCCCTTCGTGGTATTAACCAGGGGAGTAGTTCTTTTCTGATAGGCGTCAGTCTATTAAACCTACTGTGTAGATATAATAGAGACTGGCTTGAACGTTTAAAGTTCATTTGCTTTAGATCTATAAGATTGACATGATTTCAAAGTTCAATTGAGCTAGCTGCATCATCTAGAGAAAGTCGAAAGTCGTATATATTAATTTACTTGTTTCTTTTTTACGTTATACTATTCACATTAAAACTTTTCCGTCTGATATGTCATTCTTTGAAAAATACTGTTTTTTTCAAATATATTTTTTTCAGTTTTTCAAACACTTTCATGCGTATTGTATACAAAATTTCATTTCTACTGAAAATTACGTAATTTTTCTTGCTCTCACATTTTGAAATGAATGCATATTATCGGAAGATGGCATAAAATGTATTATATGATTTCCAATTCGATAAAATGTTTGAAGTATGTGCAGGATTGACGATTACTCATTGCCTCATTGATTATATCTGATTACGATGAGTGAAAACAAGTATGGAATGGAATTGGCCGATACTTGAGGGAAATCCATATCAAAATTTTTAGTACAGTTTATTGTGATTTGCGCTATGAAATGTTTACAAAATTTTGACACGTGTTTCACTATACAATAACACAGTCTTGCTTCAGGGAGCTACTGAATAGCGAAACATGTGTCGCGGTTTTGTAAACTTTTCATATTGGAAACACAATAAACTATATTAACAAGTTTTGAAAACCAGAAACCAGTTTTTCAGTCTACGTTCACGAGGGGATCTTGTATTCTAAAAGCTTTAGATGAGAACTTTCCTAGAGCCATTGTCGAAATGAGAAAATTAATGTTAGAGTCTTTCGTTATTGGATGTCAGAAGTCAATAGATTTCACACATTTCTGAAGAAGTACTTTTTTCTGAAGTAATTCACAATAATCGAACTGGATTTTAATTTTCAAACTTGGCAGATCATTTTTTCATTGTTCAGTTGAAGAAAAAAATTCAACAAGCAGCTTTACTGGAAAAATTTTTTTGTCTTGATATTACTTAAACGCAATTTATAAAAATGGGAATGACTGGTAAATAATTTGAGAAAGACTTTCGTTATTTGGCGTAGTTCAATATTTCTTGTCCAACTATGAAATAAATGTGAATTTTGTTCGTAACCTTTCAAAATAAGGTTTCTCTTGTGCTGAATGACACCCGCTGAAGATGGGAGTAAAATAAACGCCGGGCAAATTATAAGGATGAGCGTCGCGTTGATTATACTCCCATCTGCACCGCGTCTAAACATACACCATGAATAAATCAATATTATATATAACTCTTCAGTTCACTCTTTCACTTATATTGAATGATGCTTCTTGTCTAGCCTACTCTAATCGCAATCTTTCAAAGTCATGCGATGAAAAAAATGAATTTGGGTATAATTCGTATACATACAACACCCTCTATATGATTTTTTTGTAGAATCGAATAAATTTGGCGTTTTTTAGGAGAAATTACAAAGCAATAATACTGAATATCAAAATTTTTGTAGATTATTCAGAGAATAAGTTGTTGAAATGGTTTCCAGTTATTCTTATGAAATAAATGTATGAGCATGGAAAATAGAATTGGAATTGAAATTATCAACTTCTACAACAATTTAGTTACCAATCACATTGTAAAACAAAGTGCTGTTGATCGAAATTTCTACTTATTTAAGAATAGATTAGCAACTGAAAGAAAAATGAAAAAAATATTTCAGATACATTAGAAATTGTTTAGATCACACAAAAATGTGAAGTACTAGGTAACCCTTGGACATACACTCACAATGAGTAAGAAATTAATCATTTGAATCATAACTCTCAACTATCGTTATACCGGGAACTCTCAATCCGTAAACCTAAATCCTCGAATACTGAATCCTTAATTCAGAAATCTAGAATCCATAAGCTATGGAACTCCAAATGCATAATCTCTAAACTCTCAAACTCCTAAACCTTTAAATCATTGCCTTTCAAACCTTAAACTCTGAACTAGACGAGATTTTGTACAAAAATTCATTGATGGAATTAACAGAAGACATTAAATTATAACTTGGCAAATCTAGCTGTGCCTCTGAGATGCGCGAACGATAAAGAGATACGGTTACTATCCACTATATACCAACCTATATACCAACTTTCATCAGGAAGTATAATCGGGAGAAGAATGCTGTTTTGAATGAATTCGGGAAGTGTCGACAACTCGTACCAGAAAGATAATGAGTGATATGTAATTGCACTTAGATACGTATATTCTCATTAGAGATAAATGAATTAAGAGAAAATGGATTAACTTACAACCCATAATTGAATGCATGCTTACTAGACATGATTATGAAACGTAGCACGTAATAACATACCTTTATATACATAGATACAATTCATATAATATTTTCGAAGTTTAGTTGCCTTAAGATTATAATACGACTTTTAGCATACTATTACTATACACGGTTTTCGACAGGAAGGGTTTTGATTCCGGGAAGATTACCATCTTCATCCTATGAAACATCATCCCCATATTCCTGTTTCGTTGCAGTCGATGCTATTCTCATCATATAAATCAATAATTAGATCCATCCACGAT